TTGCACAGATGTTGAAGCAACAGAAGGTCAATGAAAAGATCCAAGAAGTAAAGGAAGACGTTAAAGAGCCCACTCACAAAAACAAGAAGAAGCACCACAACAAGAAGGAGGAACATGCTGCAGCTACGAGGCGTAATGGTATGTACCTGCACAAGAACTGCTATGTTTTTTTTGGAATTTCCTTTTATAGTTACTCTATGGTTTTTTCGTTTCCTTCAAATCAGTGTTTGTTATCGTTCCCCTCAGTCTCTTATCGCTGATGAGTATGATTGAAGAGTGTATTGACAGCGTCCTGTTGTGAAGAAATTTCTGCGGTTCACACTTTTCGTCCCAGTTTTGAATTAGCAATTTCCATAGAATTTTCTAAGTGCTGTATCAACAAAACAATTCGCACGTAATTGATGGAATGCCAACAGAACAGCCACAGTAGTGAACTCCGATGCTTATCTCTGGGTGCGTATTCGGCGATAAATAGGTGGGTCACTCGGGTTATAATCGATGGAAGACTGCCGCCGATCTCCAGCATAACAGGCGTTGACGCCACATCTGCTGCCTTGTTCGCTTTAGTCTTCTTCTACTAGCTAGCTGAATAACATGGCACGTCAAAGTAAGCTAAAGAAACTTTATTCCTCTTATTTTCCGGTTGATCATTCGGAGATAATGGACTAGAACTTCGCTAAGATCGTTTTCAAAATTTTTGTTTCAAAATCGTACAATCTGAAGGTTGCTAAGATTCCTGTTTTCAGTGATGGTTTAAATCATCTCTATACCTTTACAAGAATTTGCAAGATTTAATACAATTTTTTCTAACAGAGATGCATCATCAATGTCACAAATGTTCGAGTTAATCTCTCGCAATGATTCTTCATCTTCCAAATCTTTTTCAGAAACGGCAAATGTTAACAACAAACCGAAATCCTCGCAGTCTAAGGAATCGAGGAAGGATAAAGAAAGTGTCAAACCCGTAAAGTCAGAGAGGGGATGTCTTTCTAGAAGTAGGTTTTTCACTTCTTTTTGAAGTTAATGTTTAAAAATCAGTATCAATTGGGCATGCGTAATTATTAGAGCTATAACTCTGTTTAGTGATCCGATCCATATACAAACTCACCCTTACACTTGGCGTCGTCGTTTTTCTTGCTGCAACTGTTGGAATTCTTCTCAACTGTGCTGATGGTGCGAAAAATATAAAGGGTAGCAAGGTAATTTCATATTTCTTGGTTCATACTTCTCCTTCAATATCTTAATTAATACATTTTCTTGCAGCCACTTTGTGCAGATTTAACGAGATTATCTGAGTTCAAAGGCCCATCTCCTTTGTTCTTTACGAACGCTCGGAATACGTACAGCACTGTGTTGCACGGATACTGGGGTCGTATACAGCCATCGGTGCATGCTCTGCAGAAGAAATGGAATGAGTATTATCGTGAATTTGTCAAATCGGACATTGGCATCACCGTTGACAGGCAAGAGCTAGGCTTCTTTTGTTCGTTTATTGAACGAAATGTCTAAATAGACTTTT